AACTTCCATTGTCTTGTATGAGTTCTTTATCTTAGTAAAGTTCCCCAATTCTTTCCTTACAGATGAATCTGGATATTGATACTTCCAATCTTGGCAAGCAGTAGCAAGCCTGACAAGTTAGATTAAGAGCAGTTGGGAAGGAAAAACAGTATTCCACAGCTCTTTTATACTGTAAAGCCCGGGAGGCTTTTAAACAATGATCCTTTATCCTACTGTACATTCCCTGGGCACCCTCCTTTGGGCACAAGATGTTGAACTGCATGGACTTTGGGAGGTCTCAGTATTGCCATACTGAAATAACTCCCATATGAATTGCATACAGCATTTATTAGGGATGCAGCCTTCAAACCATCCCATAAAAACTTGAGAAGATCCCCAAGGCATTTCAGCGTTCAGCTGACTTTTCTTGTTGAGATCTAGCTCGTAAGGTCTTTTTCTTTAAAAGATTGTTGATTGTTTCTATGTATTTCCAACAACCAGGTATCTTTAAAAGGAGGAAATCCACTGTCACATATTTAAACAAGTATATCTCACTATATATCTTGCTGGTATCTTTTATGGAGAAAAAAAAAAAAAAAACAAAAAAAGAATTTTCCACTTCACTTACAAAGTTCCAATAGCTGTTATGCATACATAAACACTTCAGTGGGTGGTTTTAGCACCTCTTCCATAGCAGCCTTGTGTTAGATACCTCTGACACCAAATTGCAGTCGTACATCTGTAGCTGCAGAAGTGGTCTGGTACCCACCAGGGCAGACAGCATCCTTAGCTGGAAATAGGACATAAGTGGGTATGGTCACAGTAAAAGGAACTGTAGAGTTTCTGTCAAAACCTACTGTCCACCTCTTTTTCTTTTACAATGTGAGGATTAAGGCATTTCCCTGGAACACACCATGGTTAATTTTGAATTAATCCCTGGTTAGTAGGAGCCTTAGGCTTATTCAGAGATTCACCAATGGATGGCTGATGTACACCAATGGATGGCAGGATTTTAACACCAAGACTTTAACAATATCTCATTTTTCCAAGGAGAAGACAGTAAAGTTCAGAGACTGAAAAGAGGCACTGAAGTTGTTTTATTTTTCTCCATATGCTTGTCTGCCCTAACACTGCATTTGCCACCAATCCCAAGTAACTTTCAACATTTTAAATTATCAGTGGCTGGGCAGGGAACATTAAAAGGAGCAGAGAAGGAGAGCAAAAAAAAAAATTACCAATCAAAACCATCATAATCAGGTTTTCATTCTTTTACTGATGGGGGTTCAGAGTTGTGACTGGGCAGTTAAGACTTGTAGGAGCTGCACACAGACACCCAAAGGCAACTACCCTTCTTCCCCCAAGCCATCTCCAAACTGCAGACTCTTCTGACACATCCCTTATTACAGTAATCCATATTGCTGTCATCTCTGCTGGATGGGCTTGTAAGGAACTCTCAGCTGACTGCAGGTTTTAGAAAATAGAGAATTGCATTAGCACTTGTATCCTGAGACAGTCTCTGTGCCACAGTCTACACAGTCTACTTCTAGGGGAAGAAAATAAGTATTTCAAATAATAATATGCAAAACAGAGCATGTTAAAAGAACTGACAGCCCTCTATGTTTCCTGTATAGCTCCTGCTAATTTGTACTCTTTGACACCAGGGAGAATCCATCCTTGCTTCTAATGTTCAAGATTTTATGATGTAATTGCTAATGGGTGCAATAAATACTATTTCCTATATAGAGAGTCTGACTCTGCACCAACACCAGTAAGTACCAGCAATCCATTGCCACGATTCTTATGCTAGTTGCTCTTTTTTACACAGTTTAAAACAGAAGGTGAGCAATACAAATTGGAGGAGCTGGAGTCCCAGTGCTGAAGAACCCAGACAAAAAGTGACTTCCAATAGCAAACGAGAGGCAGAGTATGAAAAGATAAATTATTCAGTAATAAATGCTACACGCTTACAATGCACAAGTTGTAATGCATCTCAGTTGCTCTTGTAATTTGGTACAGTCATTTACCTAATATGGTAAATATGCCATATGGTATACTAATAAAGAAAGTGTTAGAACAAAGACATGATGATTTCTAGGCTTTTATTTCTAATTTTGTATGCAACTGTAAGCTGCATTCCAGCTGTCCTAAAATGCAATCAGTAGAAGAACGCAGGCTGCTCTGCCCCTTCGTGCTGACTACCACTGCCATGCGATAATTCAGTCCATCTCTCACACTGCTCCCAACAACGCTGTGTCCCAGCTCCAGGCCGCGCTCCTATTTGGATGCTGTGAAAGAAAGACGTGCAGCCACTGCACCTTCAGGTGGCTCCAGCTTAAGCCTAGCATACCCCAACCCCGATAAATCACTAGAGCAGCTGAGTAGATTAATTCTTCCACTATGTCGGGAATGCAAAGAGACTTCTACTCCAGATAGTTCTTTGGTATGTTGCTTATAGAATTTCAGCATAGCTAAAACTAGCAATATACTTGACTGTGGCAGGAAAAAAGTGATAGAGATGACCGTACTTGAAGCAGCTTTCTTGCCTTTTAAGCAACAGGCAACTACTTCACAGCATCATAACCTGGAAAAAAAGTGGGAAGTAAGAGTCAGAGAAGGGAAGAGGGCATCTTCTGAGGAAAAACTCCCCTGAGTTTTGAATGACAACTGGGAAAACCTATCCAGACAGAAAATAAAAAGCTTTGGAATACAAAACACTCAAGAAAAGATTAATTTTAAACTTCTCACTGGGGCTTCGTGGCCCCTTCTGTCAGTGCCTGTTTGCTAAGTGATCGGAGCCTTCAGAAAAGCTCAGTGCAGTAACGTTAACTCAGAGGAGCATTTTCTGCAGGTAAAAGGATGATTTGAGAAACCAGAACAGTAATAGGAACACAGTTTATGTTAAAGTTAAGACTAGATTTAAAGATGCTCACCCTATTTGTTATTTGAGGCCCATCCATTAAGATAAACAGCTCTCATTTTTTGCTGTCCCCAGTGTGAGCTTTCGGGAAACATCTCTTGTAGATGTGCTCACATATTTGCAGGCAGGGCAGGACATGAGACTGTAATTCAGCATTGTTCCTATCACTCATTGGGCAAGCCAGTTTTATTTTTTATTTTGTGTCATAGCACTGCAAATTAAGCCACTGCCACAGATGTGTAATGTAAGCAGCACTGACACCCATCTTTGGGCAGCCCTAAGTACCGAATCCTCTCATCCCTGACCTATTTAAAGTAGCCCAGTCCCTGAGCTCCCAGCACCCAGAGCTCCCAGTCCCCTCCGCAGCCCTATGGCAGCCACAGGCTGGTCAGTGCTGGGCACCGGCAGGTGCAGAGCTGCTCTCACAGCTCCAGCCTTTACGCTCGGGAATAGATGGAGTTATTTGATAATACCGAAACAAGAGCTACTATTTTAAGCCTGACAACCCTTAACACGTGCTACGCTTTATCGTTCAGTTAACACACCTCGTTAGAAAGAACAGCCAGCAAAAGACAGCGGCTTGGATCCGCGCTTTATTTACTTCCTCCGCGGCGGTTGCACAACGGGTCAAAGTGCACTCCGCCCTGCGGCCCCGCAGCCCCGCGCCGCCGCTCCCCGAAGGGTTAAGCGGAGGCGGGGGTGTAACGCGGGGCTGACACACACCCGGGGATCGTCCCCGGAGCGGCAGCTCCCCCGCCTCGCGGTGCCGGCTCGGCGCTGGGAGTGGACTGTTTAAAATTGTCATCTCCCTCTCTTTTTTTTTTTTTTTTTTCCTTCCCCTCCCCTCCTCCTTCTCCCTTCCCAGCGCTCAGATCGCACCGCACCGCCTCCTCGGGCCGCGCTTCCCAGGACTCCGCTCAGCCTTCAGCCGCGCTGAGTCAGCCCGCTCGGGGCCGGAGGTGCCGCTCCCGGCCTGCAGCCGCCTCCGCGGGCAGCGCTCCGGGCTTCGGCGCGGGGCGGCACGGAGAGGCCGCTCCTCCTCGCCCGGGGCCGCCCTCTCCCCCCCCTCCGCCGCCGGCGGTGGATCAGTTACACGCAGCTGGCACAGGTGTGGGGCGCCCTTCAGACTCGCGCCGCCGAGGGAGACCCGGACACAGGGAGAACATGCAGCCATTTTGGGCAGAGGCAGACAAAGAGCCGCGGCCGCCCGGCCGCCCGCCCGACGACAGCTCTCTCCGCTACCACAACCGCCGCCCCCGCCCGCTCGCCCCGCACCTCCCGGCTTCCCCTCGCCCGCCCCCGACTCCCGGCGCGGTTCTGCCACTGCCGCCCGACTCCCGACTCAGCCCTCTCAGCCATTTGCGCCGCCTTTTATAGGCGGTCGCCGACCAATCAGCGACGAGCGGAATCCCTCTCCGACCGGTGATGTGAGGCCGGGCTCGCGCGCGTGCGCAGTCCGGGGGAGGCCGAGTGTGTGTGTGTGGGGTGGGGGGAGGGAGGGAGGGAGGAGTGGAAGGGGAGGGGGGGGGAGGAGGGAGCAGCTCACAGGAACCCTCCAAAAAAAAGATGGCGGCGGGCTCGGATCTGCTGGATGAGGTTTTCCTGAACACGGAGGTGGATGAGAAGGTGGTGAGCGACCTGGTGGGCTCCCTAGAGTCCCAGCTGGCGGCCTCCGGCCACCACCACCAGCACCACAAGGCGCAGGAGCCCCTGCGGGCCGCTGGGGGGCTGCTGGGGAACCATGTTGTGAGCGGCGGCAGCGGCAGCGGCAGCCCTAGCCCCAGCCCTGGAGGAGTTGTAGTAGGAGGCAGCGCGAATGCCCAAACGGAGAGCGGCGGCGGCGGCGGCAAGATGGGACTGAGCGCCCCGGAGATCACAAAAGCAGGTACGGTGCCGTGCCGCGGGCAGGGCTGGGGGCGCGGGGCCTCCCCTCCCCCTCCGCGCTCCCCCCCGCTCCGTCCCCTCTCCCCCCTCGGCGCTTTGGCACCCCCGGGGCTCCGAGGTGGGCATCGGCCCTGCGGGGCCTCCCCGCGCCGTGTCCCCCCGCCGCCCGTCCCCTCGCGCGGCTCCGCGTTCCCTCCCCTTTATTTTCCCTCCCGCTCACCGGAGGATGTTCTGTCGCGTGTGTGGGGGTCGGTTCCCCCGGCCCGGCCGTGTCACTCCTCTGCCGTCCCTTCTTCTTTATATATATTTTTTCTGCTCCGTCCGTCGGCGGGGTTGAAAGCGCACAGCCCACCCGTGGGGTGACGGCGGTACCGCGCGGCCCGGGGCTGCCCCCAACCTCCCCCCCCCCATCCCCCCCAACCTCCTCCTGCAGAGGTGGGGGCTGCGGAGGGAATCCCTCTCCGTCGTGCCCCCTCCCCGAAGCGCTGGGGGTGTCATTAATCATGACATCTATTTCCTGCAGAGGAGGAAGCCTGGGAGGGGGGATTTCGAGGGGAGGAAGTCCCTCGGAACGCTGCCCCCCACCCGCTGTTTCTCTTCAGCCCCCTCCCCTCCTGTCGGGGGTTCGGAGGGACGCTCCGCTCCGCCCGTTCCCGCGCTGCCCTCAAGGGGGGGGGTGGTGTCACAGAGCGGGGAGGGGGGGGTCGGGGCGCAGGGACCCCGCCTGGGGTTGCGCCCCCTCCGTGTGCGGCGGTGCTGGGACTGAGGGCTCACCCCTTGGGAATGGAGGTAAGCTGGTTTGCGGGGGAATAGTAATAGCCACAACAATTAAGAAGTCTCCCCAGAATCTCTCTGCAATTCCTCCCCTCCCCCCGTTTTTATACTTCATTCTTCTTTGCTTTTTCTCTTCTCGCTAAAGCCTAAGAAGATACAACAGCCCTTCTGTCACAATTAATGAAGCTCTTCCAGGAGGACCTCCTTCACCTTTACAACGTACATCTCAATATTTGCCTGTCACTACTGCCTTCCCGTTTCTGTCTGCTTAGGGCCAGGATCCAGGCTGTCTGTGATGTTACTGGTGATAACACCAGGCCTCCTCGGGGGGGGCACAAGGATTATTCAGGACAAGAAGCTACATCATCTTGTGCCTTCTTAAAATCAGCTTTGCTTTTTATTTATTTATTTTATAACTGTCTTTGGCTGTGGGAACTTCAGATACAACAGAACAAATTCTGTAATAAGCTGGCACGGTCTTCTTGTAGACCTCTCCAGGTCTTGCAGTACTTCTTACCTTGTCAGGCTGATGATTTTCTTTCCCTTCAAGTTTCTTATTTTGTTGTCGTGGAGCCTCCCGCTCTAACTCTGTAGGAGATGAAAGGATTAGTGGGTAACATGTGCTGGGCATAGAGAATGTGTTTTGTTAATGTGTCTTCTATTGCCTTTTTCCCCTCTTGCAGTTGCAGCCCTTCTGATAAGTGTGTTATCAGGCTCTAGAATGGAGAAGAGGTCTAAGATGATCTTCTTTCTTCCTTTCCACTGTCCATTTCAAATCTGTTTTCCCTATTTTCGTGCACTGTAGTGATGAGAGCGAGGATGTTATCATTTGTATTGAACCTGTCAGTATTTGATGGGAAATTGCAAGCTCCAGGACAACGTCTTAAAATCCATCTTCAGTTTGTATGCTGTCCCATTTTCTTGGCTCTGTGGAGAAGGCTTGGTGATGAGGGAGGATGTTCTGTTTTGGCAGAGTTCTCCTCCCGCTCATTCTCTCTGTTTAACCTTGTTGTTGTTTTGCAGGAGCAGGAGGAGTGCAAGGAGGTGTTATTAATCATAACACCAGGTCCCAGACTTCAGCTCTGGATGGAGCCACCACGACGAGCACCAGCACCACCACTGCAGCGGCAGGAGGATCCGAAGTCACTGCTGCTCCAGGGACCCTCAGTCAGGGCAAATCGGTGGTTATCAGCACCATGGCGACTGCCTTGTCTACCAGGAATGGCAAGATTGGGACCACGACAGTGCAAACTTTGAATGGTAGTAACGTGGTGATGAACTCTCACCACACAGGAAGTGCTGCTTTCTCTGGGACTCCAGTGACCGCCAACCCCGCTTCTGCACCTGCTGTTGCCCCTCTTGTTAACAATGGACCTGGATCTGTGGGAAAAGGAAATACTGTTAACGCTGTTTTGCCGTCAGCTTCCAACACTGTCATCCAGACTTCTTTCCTTAATACTGCTGTGTCCTCTGCATCTTCCTCCTCGCCCACAGTTATCTCTTCACAGCCGCCACCCAGTGTTGGAAGTGGGGGCCCTACGGTCACACTCGTGAGGCCCCCGATTCACACGGCAGGACCCACGGTAGCCGCAGCTGGCGCGGCCACTCAGAATGGGAGCAATACTGTGATCAATTCAACCATCAGTGTGGGGAGTTTTCCTGCTGTTGCTACAGCCACTGTGGGATCTGGAGTTTCCCTCCAAACAACGCTTGTGAATAGCCAGTCTGGTTCCAGCGTGCCGACGGCTCCTACCACACAGGTCATCAAATCTGAGTCTCCTAAAACTATAGTGCAGGCAGTATCCCAACAGCAAACGCTGGCTACTGCTGGCCAGCCCAGTACTACAGGGGGTAACATGATTATTGGGCAAACTATGCAAGCTGGGCTCACCAATGTTGCCCCCAATCCTGGTGGGATACCTCCTGCAGCACCTGGCACCCCTACGGGAATGGCTAAAGGCACTGCCAACACGGTGGCACAAACTCTACCGAGGACTCCAACAGCAACTACGAGTGGAATCAGAGCAACTTTGACTCCTACAGTTTTAGCACCTCGTTTGCCTCAGCCACCTCAGAATCCCACTAACATTCAGAATTTTCAGTTACCACCAGGTAAGCAGAAGCTCAAGGGCTTCTTGTTTCGGGAATGTGATTCTTGCAGGGAGGAAGGTCTCTTGCTGTTTAGTTGTGAAAAAAGGTGTTATATTTAACAGTGGGAATTGTCTGGTGTGGTGTAGTAGCATAGTAGCATTCCACTACTTAGTGTATTTTTTCAGGTGACCAAAAATGTCTTGTGTGCAATGATTATTTGGAAATTGTCCGGTGTTCTCTTTACAATGTTGAGTGCAGATGAAGCTGCAAACTGCCAAGTATGACAATGAAACATTATAAAATGAAGTGCTGCTATTTCATTTTCACAGAAGGCGTTTTAAGGCAGTTTTGTTGGTAGTTTGTATAACCTTTGCATGCTGTTCTGTTCCCACTCTGTCCCTGCATGCCCCCGGTACCGTAGAGCTCTCTTGAATAGAGAAACTGCAGATACAACACAAGAAAACTACCTTCTTTTCCTTTAAATACCTTCAAAGCGTGACTTAAAAACTCACACATTTGGAGCTTATGATGATCTTTTCAGTCACTGTAGTTCTGATACAAAAGGCAGTCTCCCTCTGTCCTTACCTCACCCTGTTGTGTCTAGGGTTGCAGCTTTTGTAGTAGCTAGTATCGTGCTTAGTGCAGAGCATCTCTGGGCAAGGAATGTAGTCCTGACCACAGTGGGTGAGTAAAAAGTAGGACTAGAAGCATTTCTGGCTTGAGAACTGTTCTGTTCTTCTTTAAATATCCTAGATTTGTGCATTTAAAATTACATGTTTACTCTTATATTGAAGCTGAACCTGTACATGTATCCAGTTTCGTTTTTAACTGAAAGTACTCACATGAACCTACACGTAGTTTTCTGTCTTTTTGATAGTCTGTAGTAATAGGTGTATTCTCAGTATTCACAGTTTTCAGGATAGCATTCAGAGAGCAACTAACTGTGCTTTGTTGCTGGTGCCTCATGAAGGCAGCAGCATTTGTGTATCGCCTGTTTCATTCTGTCTTTGTAAAAGTACACCTACTGGGACACCTCAGCGACCTCAAAGCAGTGCACCTGCTGAGTAAGGCAGACCAGAAGCCAGGCTGCATTACTACACACTGTCTGTTTGGGTAATGTGTTATTTGTGATATGTGATGCTGTGCAGTTTGATGAAGTCTGTCGAGCGTTCTGTACGTGGCATAAATATTCCTCATTTTTTGTGTGTGTAGAGAATTATTCCCTGTATGAATAATATGAATGAGACATGGTGCTAATTTGAAAAAGAAAAACATCCTAAAACTCAAACCTTGAAATCCTCATGTTTGATTTGGAGCTTGTAGGTCGGTAGGCTGGAAAAGCCTTATTTATTGCCACAGCGTATCAGATTTTTCAGGCTTGCAGTCTATTGCCTTGCCTTGTATACCTGTGTTTTTACTAATGCTGCATTATAAATCTGATTATGGGAAAAATACTACCACTGAGTCCAGTGGGACCTTTCTTCCAGGTAGCTGCTGTTTTCAAACCACCATAGCATACTGAAATGTGTTACACTTAGAAGCAGCATTGCCAGTCCTTAAGCATAATTGGGCCATAAATTGCTACTTTGGAGGTCTCGATAGATCAAAGTAAAGCAATATAGTTTCTAAACACTTGGGCTTTTTTATTAAGCACTTTTCTTGTCTGTCCTACACTTATAAGAGTATTTATAACTTCAGAAGAATAGCATGACTTGTAACATAAGCCTACCTACATGAGTGGATACGTAGAAATTAAATTCTTGCGTGGTAACTCAGGCTTAATACTGGAAATGATTTTTCTTTTCAGTGTAGCAGTTGTTGCTTTTTGTTTTAATTTCTTTGGTTGATTTTCTGTACTTTGCCAATATAGCCAACTTTGCAAGTACTTTGAGTGAAGCACATCTTGCAGAGCAGAACACTTAGCAAGTGATGGATGCTGAGCTTTCAGAAGCATCTCACAGGTGCGAGGGCTGAGCACTGCAGAAAAATCTAGTGTCTGCAAGTGCTCTGATCTTCAGAAGTGTTCATATGCATTCATAGTGAAAGCAGAATAGACGACTGTTTTTGAGATGTAATTTCAAGTTACATTGTGATAGGCCAGATTTTTAAAGGCAGCTTGGTAATATGAAAGTGCAGCTGTAGTGCCTGTATGTTGAACGTCTACTGCATGCACCAAATCTGCAGCCATAGGTGTATGCTTGAAGTTAGCGCTGCGTGCTGATGGTTTTATAAGACAGTGCATGAAACAGCTTGAGATTAGAGACTGAACGTGTCACTTTTTATACTGCTGTTTACAAATACCCACAGAATTCTTGTGGAGGTTTGACCAATGAGAAGCATGTGTTTTATAGCTATTTTCATGTCTTGATATACTGTTTCTGGCTCTCCAAAGTACTGTTACAGTTTCACATAGCTGAAA